ACTAATCTAAGTGAACATCAACCACCATTTGTCACATCTCATTGTTGCCAGCTTATCGTTTCGTACCGTTTCGCGTCCGTGTTGTTGCTGGATGAGCAAGCAGCGCGTGATGCCGGCGCCGGCGCCGGCCGCCGAGCCGCGGCTCAAGATGCCGGTCGACCGCTTCGCGATGATGCGCCAAGTCAACAAGGAGGCGAACACCTCTGCCTTTGACACGGTCTCGGCGACGCAAAACCACCGTGAGCGCAAGGAGCAGGAGACCAAGCGCCGCGCCGAGGCGACGCTCATGGAGAAGGAAGACTACACGTTCACGCAAGAGGGCGTCGACCGGCTCAAGCGGCGCGAGGCGCGGCTGCTCATGGAAGCCGAAGAAAAGCGAACGCGGCAGATCCTCGCAGCCGAAGCCGCGGCGCGGTACGCAGCGGCCGAGAAGGAGCGCAAGCGCATTGAAGCCGAGGAGCGCCAGCGATTGCTTGAGGTGCACCGCGCGCAGATGGAAGCGCAAAAGGCCGCCGAAGCCGCCGACCTCGCGCGCAAGCTCGCGGAGCGGGAAGCGCGGCTGAAAAAGATGAAGGAAGACGCGGACCGCAAGGTGCGGGAGGAGTACCAGAAGAAGGAGGAGGCCAAGCGCGCGGAAATCAACCATGTGCGCCAGCTGCAGCAGCAGCAGACCGAGCGCGAGCTCATGGAAGCCGAAGAGGAGGCCGAGCGAGACAGGCTGCTCAAAGTCGCCGAGCAAGCGGCCATCCAAGAGCGGATCCGCGCCGAAGAGATGAAGTGGAAGGCGTGGGAGGAAGCCGAGGCGCTCAAAGAAGCCGAGGCGCTCGCCGCGCGGCGCGCGCTTCTCGCTGCGCAATACGAAGAGGACAAGGCGCGCCGCATGGACCTCCATCGGCTCCGCAAAGAAAAAGAAAGTCGGCTCAAGAAGATGGCCGAGCCCGTCGTCGAGACCAGCGTCGCGCCGGTCGCCGACCCAGCCCACAAAGGTGCGCTCGGTGGCCTTTAGCGTTGATAGAAAGGCGTGTAGGGATCCCCAAGGCCGGCTCGTTTGTCGTCAAGCCAGCTGCAGAGAAATTGGTACATGGAGGCAATCAAAAATGGTTCAACGTGTCGGGTAGGAGTGGCGCGATGTCTCGGCGCTGAGCAAGGACCAGCTCCGCGACGAGTTGACGAATTGCGCGCAGCTCAAAAAATCCCTCAAGCAAGACATTGTGGCGTGGTAAAAAGCTTCTTGGCGTGCATTCTGTCGCCAATATGGACGCAGGTGCGACGCGTTCCTGGCCAAGATGCACCGACCACCGTCGCTCGAAGAGAAGCAGGAAATTCAACCTCTCTACAAACGCTACAGCGAAGTCGAGAGCCACTTTCGTGCTGTCAAGGCGCGGCTCGACGGCGACGCCAAGCTCGTGTCTGTATCCGAAGCGCCGCCCGTCAAAAGCTCGAGCTCGACAAAGCTACCGCCGACCAACGACGCCCCCAGCATGCAAGTCATTCTGGTGCGACGAGATTGGGTTGTGCAAGGTGCCGACTATCACTGTAGACAAATCGCAAGCGCGACGTCAAAAAAGCTATTCAAGATTGGACTTCAGCGTTCCAGGCCACCCACGGCCATCTCCCGAGTGTTCAGGAAAAGAGGGAAATCTTATCCTTGTACGAAGACTACGCCAAGATTGACGCGCAGCTCAAAAACCTCAAGTACCACTGCGTGAAATGGCGTACATTGAGGGCGGGGCTAGGTACACGGTCGTCAGTGTCGAGGTGCCGACTCCCCACAAGAAACCACCCAAAGCCGGAGCCCTCGATATGAATGCAATCAAAGAGATGGCGGCCAAGCAAGCAACGGCCAAGGCCAGCCCCATCAAAAAGCATCTGCCCGAGACGGCCAAGCTCGAAAGCGACGACAACCAGCCCGGAGCGGATATGGAGGAAACCAAAGCTCCCGCAAATACTAGCGAAGTCCCCGAAGTGCTCGAGCCGACAGCGTCCGAGCCCGTCGAAGAGCCATACCCTAACCCCTCCCGAGTACTCGAATGCGAAGCCAACGCTGCAGAGACGGACGAGTCACCAACTGCGGAGCTACCAGCGCCGTATCGTGGTACTGAAGACCCTGCGCAAGATAGCCAAGTACCATTGACGAGTTCGGCACCAGACGTCCACTGTGAGCCCACGCTGACACAAGATGTGGTGTCGGAGGCCGTGAACGCTGCAAAGGACTCGACGGAAGCGGTGCCATCGACATCGGCTTCCTTGGTTGTAGAGGCACAGCCGAGCCTCGACGCAAGTTTGCTTGCGAATACGACATCGGCGCCATCCCCTGATGCAGTCGGGCCCACGGCGCAAGGCGATGCCATGTCGGCATTGGCCACCGATGAGCCTGCAGCGCAGACTGACACGACGTTAGACCGTGCAAGCGAGCCACCGGCTGATGCGCCACCAACGGACATTAGAAAAGCGACCGAATCAGCTGTGCTTGGACCTTCGGATGTCCAAGCGCTGCAACCAGCATCGATCGAGTCGACTGAGCTCCATGTCGAACCGCCGCGGTTGACCGAGCCATCGACAATGTCAACACCCCGGGCTCAAGTCGCGAGCAACAACGAGGCAAGTCCAGTCGACTTGATGACCGAAGGCAGCGACTTGAGCGTCGACTCGACGACTGAAAGCAGTGCACTGAGCGTCGACAACCAAGTGCCACCGCCTCAAGTCGAAGCGCACACGCTACCCGAGTGGCTGGCGCTCGAGCTTTCCGTCCTCGACGCTCTTGACGATGCACCTTCGGACGCTGAATCCACGTTGGAAGCAAGACTCGACACTGTTGTTGCAGGTATCCAGGCGCAAACCGAGGCGGCACCCGCGTTTCTTCGCGTCGAGTCGGTCGAGGCTGCGTCGCCAGCAGCGGCGGCCAATGTGCTGCCCAACGACCTCATTGTGCGGTTTGGATCCGTGTTGCGGGACGCATCGCAGCCAACGAGTACCTTGATTCGCGACGTGGTATTCTTTTTGCATTTTTACTGTTGGTTTATCGCATCGGGTGTAGGTCGCGCTTGTGAACGCCCGGGCAGCCACCGCGCGAGCACTCGGTATCTCGGTGCGGCGCGGGGATGCGACAGCGCACTTGGTGCTTCGGCCGCAAAAATGGGCTGGCGCGGGCCTTCTCGGGTGTGTCTTGCAACCGTACGAGGCGAGCAAAGTACCGTCGCCGCCCAAACCTCGGCCGCTGTCGGCGGCCCCCGTGGCGCCCCCGGAAGACGCCTTTGATCCCGCGCCCCTGATGCGACTGATGACGCAGTCGATGGATGCAATGGACTTTCAAAAGGCGGTCGACCACGAAATGCAGTTGTACGACGCCCAAGACGCTCTTTCGCAGTGGCTACAAGCACACCCGTCGACGACCGACGACCTTGCATCAATCGGTGCTCAGCTGGAGGCCGTGCGGGCAAACGCAGCCAAGGTCCTCCACGACCACTTACGGGACGCCGGCGTGATCCCGTATCTCCGAGTTGACACGGTGGAGGCAGAGTCGCCCGCCGCGGCATCCGGCCTCCTTCCTGGCGACCTTGTTGTCCGCTTTGGCGGCGTCGTCTCGGTCGACGGCACCAAGACACCTGCGTCGAGTTTGATTCAGCACATTGTACTCCGAGTGGATGAATCATTTCTTATATATTCCGTCGTAGGTGGCCCTTGTCAACGCTCGGCGCAACCATTGTCTGAGTGTCTCGGTCGAGCGTAGCACCGAAAACGATCTCGTTCATTTATCTATCCGCCCGCAGACCTGGGCCGGCGCAGGTGCGCTGGGCTGTGTCTTGCACCCGCACGAGCGACCAGCGCTGAGTATTCTCACCGAGCCGGAACCGCCGTCGTGGCCAACGAACGCCTTTGCGTACATTGAGGCCATGGCGGCCGCCCCGTCGCCCGCAAGCATCGCTGGCCTTCTGGAAACCGACTGCATCATCGGATTCGACGGCCTCGACGGCGGCGCGACGCTCCAAGAGGCGCTAACGACGTTCAACAGGTGTGTTCGACTGTGTGTAGTAACCTACAGACCGTCGAATCGACTTGTAGACTCACAGACTTTCCGCTGACGCTGTATCTGTCACGGTACTGCCCCATCGAGACGGGGTCCCCCGGCTACGTCGAGTTCGCGGTCGTCTTGAACTCCTGGGACGGTATCCTCTCGATTCAGCCGCTCGTTGCGATCGAAGCAGCGGACGATCCCTCTTCGCTGCCCGATTCGACTCTACCCTCGGTACCCTTTGCTCGCGTGCTCCGGGTCTACCCCGAGTCCCCCGCCGACACCGGGGGGCTCATGGCCGGCGACTACGTTCACGTGATAAGCGACGTGATGTATCCGTCGCCCGAGGCTGTCTCGGACTGGATCGGACACCAGTTTTCGACTCAGTCGTCCGTCGCACTGCAAATCACGCGCTGTCTCGACGCCGACGACAGGTTTCTACACCCTTTGGGATAGTTCAGACGATGAAATGTCGCCATGTAGGTACACGGAAATCCAGCTGCGCATTCTGCCCGAGCGTTGGTGCGCGCCACAGTTGCACTTGGGCGCGCACGATCGGCGAATGCTTGAGCTCTTTGGGTGGACCCTCGAGTTTCTCAAAGAGCCCGTGTACCCGCCATTCTTGGTTGTCGAGAGCGTCGTACCGGCGTCGCCCGCCGCGCTCGGCGGTGTCTGCGCCGGCGACCTCGTGGGAAAGTTTGGGTCGCTTCTCAAGGCGTCGCTTGGGGGCCCGTCGTCCGTGGCCGAGATGGTGCACTTGTACTTGGGCCCGGAAACCAAGCAGCTCGAGGGACACAAGCTCACGCCGTTGCCGATGCAAGTGCATCGATACGACGCCGCAACATGCCTTGTTACCCGCGTCAACCTCTTCTTGCCCCCGCCCAAGCCTGGCTTCTACACCGGGTACCGACAGATCTACCATCGTTTGTTCTGTGCCAACGTACGTTCATAGAGATGGCGTGTGGGGCTGTTGCCTGCAACTATGGGCGCCAGAGGCGCTAGAGCCCCTCCTCGTCGTGACGACAGGCTCTCTATGCTGTGGACTCCAAGAAGGCGATTTGCTGCTGGACGTCCAAGGCGTCCGCGCACCAAGTTCGCTCGACGCTCTGGCGGCCGCGATGGCGTCAGCGTCGTCTCTGACACTCGTCGTGCAGCGCTGGGACCCATCGCAGTACCTTTACATTTATTTTCCCCTGGTTCTGGCAGTAAGGACACGCTGTGACGCAAGCACGGACTCTGAAATTGACGTTGGCGGCGTCGGCTGCATCACGTACGCTTCCTACTGGCAACGGTGCGTTCGAGTGCGATTGACGAAGAGGACGACGAGGACGTAGGTACGAGGCGGCGAATCCGTCGGCGCTGCCGTGTAAATCGTGCTGGGAAGCCACCTTTGCAACAGTCGCCCACGGCGCCGCCTACTGCGGACACCTCGACTGCCTCACGTACCTCAGCCAGTACTTTGACGTCTTCTGTCTCGACCCGCTCGGGTAAAGAAGAGCCGAATCTGTTGGTGCATTTATACCGGCGTAGACGCACGCCGCTGTTTTACGCAGCCTACGCCAACCAGGTCGACTGCGTACTGTTGCTACTGTCGATCGACGTCGATGGCACACTGCGCGAAGCGACGGACGCGAACGGCGACACGATCCTGCACGCGGCTACGAGCGGCGGCGCCCTCGCGGCCATGCAGCTCTTGCTGCAGCACGGCCTCAGCACCGAGCGCGTCAACAACCTGGGGTCGGGTTACATACTTGACAATAGGATCTTAGTTGTCGCTTGGTGTAGACTGCGCCCCGTGCACATTGCGCCAACGATGGAGGCGCTGCAGGTGCTCGCCGACGGCCAAGCCGACCTCGTCGCGCTCGACACCTCGGGCCGCCTCGCGCTGGCGTATGCGTGCATGGCCGGGGACGAGGCGTGCGTCGCCTACTTGGTGGCCGAAGGACCCGAGTTGATCGACTATGCGGACACGGACGGCAACACGCCGCTGCATTTTGCTGTCCTCAGCGGGTCGCTGCCAGTGGTGCAAGCGCTGCTGACGGCGTCGCCCAACTACATTCTGCGGCCCAACAAGGACGGGAAAAGCGCCCTCGACCACGCTGTCGAGAACGAGTTGCCGTCGATCGCTGCGTTCTTGGAGGCGACGTGTATGGTGCTTGACGAGATGGGAGCTGCCCTCTCGGAATAGATAGAAGAGATGTGTTTGGTCGGGTCCCCAACTACTATTTTGTACTGAAAAAACGACTTGGGAAAAGACATTCAGTGTTCTTTGTACTTGGTGGTAGGCGAATTACATGGCCGCGTACCCCGTCTGCGCGTCTTCGAGATCGTGCGGGTCGGCAAAGAGCTGCTCCTCGCGCGACTTGTCCTTCTTGATCTTCCAGAAGAGGAAGGCTGCGAGGATCACGGCGGCGATGCACCCGACCACGATGCCTGCAATCGCACCACCCGAAATACCAGACGATTTGCTTGACGTGTCGCTGTTGTTGGTGCCCGTGCTCACATCGTGGCCATTCTGGCCGTTGCCGTTCGCGTAGCCATTGCCGTTGCCGTTGCCGTTGGGCGGAGTCGTCGTCTTGCCGCCGCCGTTCGCACCGCCGTTCGCACCTCCGTTTGCACCGCCATTCGCGCCTCCGTTCGCACCACCATTCGCGCCCCCAGCCTTTGTCGGCGTAGGCGTCGGGGTCTTCGATCCGCTTGGTGTCGTCACCGCAGGTGTCGGCTTGACCGTCGACGCGGGGGTCGTCACTGCCGGCGTTGGGCTGGCCGACGGCGTCGTAGGCGGGAGTGTCGTGACCGCTGGCGCCGGCGTCGAGCCCGGAGCGGCGCACGAGTTGGCAGGCATGAGCTTGTATTTTGCGCAGGCAACGCATGGCGCGTTCTTGTTGTTGCACGGGTTCTTCTTGGGGCAGTTGGCTTGGGGCATTAGGTTCAGCTTGTTGCACTGGCGGCAGTCGGAGCCGGGGACGCCGTCGGTTGAGATGCAGACGCCGGGCTTGCACTGGGCAATGGGCATGAGCCGCTTGAGGTCGCAGGCCGAAACGATGACCGTCGCGGCGAGGAGGCCGGTGGCGCTGGCGTCATGCAGCGCCGAGCGCATCTCGGGCGACGTCCGGCAGCGCAGCGAGACGGCGAACGAGAGCAGCAGTACAGTCAGTAGCTTGGTCATAGCAACTTGCAAAGTCAGTGGCGTCCGGCGACCGCCCAAGATTGACGGTTTCGGATTTTACACTTGGTCTTTGTATAGCATAAAGCGAGACTGTCTATTTCTTTTTGAACTTGTACTTTGTATAGAAATAGTGAAACCAAGTTGTCGGACGAGAAATGAAGCTGAAACGGGCCCGTTTCACGTTGGCCGGCGCGGGCCCAACCTCACATGCTCGCTTATAAAACCGGGCCCGGGTCCGATTCGAATTTTGGGCCAGTGAAGGCAAACAAGCGTCTTGCGCTGGACGATTAAACTACTCGATAGAGATCGCAGTGGGGTTTCCGAACGCACACCAATTTCGTTGGCTCCGTGTGTCCTCATTGCAGTGGTATAGTGTACAGTGTATAGTGTATAGTACGCTTTGACATTTCCGTGCTTATCCTGATGCAGTTTGCATCGTGCATCAGGGGAAGACGAAGAGTATGCCAAGCGTCGCGGCCATTCGTTTGCATCGGAAATGGCCGCAACGCTTGGCATAAATCTTCGTCTTGCTATAAGATCTTGTTGTGAAAACCAGGTCCGGTCCTAGCTTCCCAGCACGCTCCCAAGTAAAGATTTCGAAAATGCCAAAGAAACTGGCGATGGGTCTCCTCTGTACGCTGCTGTTGGTGCTCGCGCTTGGCACACATCGCTAATCAAATTGCACGCATGGCTCATCCGCGAGCCACTGCCACAACGCTCTAACGCGCTCCCCTGCCCGCCAGAGCTGCCCACCCACATGCGACAGCCTGCGATGTTATCTCGCTCCTCCCACCGCGCCAGCTGTCCGAAGTGTCCACATCCCACGTGCAGACTGCAGCCGTTCAAAGCAGTTGGCCAAATGCGTGGACGACACCACGCGCTAGCACAGCGCCGCAGCCGTCACCACCACAAAAAGTGGCGGCATGGTCCACCAACAACGTCGACGCGTCACCAGCGTTAGCAGCAGGCGTCATCACTGCCATTGTACTTGCGGCTCTTGTCGCAGCGAGTAGCACGCCTTCTATTGCTGGTGCTTGCGGGCCAAGCTGACACTGGAGGCAGACGACGAAGACGCCGTGTGCTGCGAGGCGATGTACTAAGTAATATACGTCACCCTCATACGTTTACAAGTTGCTCTGGTACCGGATGCGCAAAAGTCGCCTCGCAGCATGTCATGTCTAACGTGTTTGATGCTTGGGGCGAGGTGCTCGGTTGAGACCAGACATTGAGTAATGTCAGTGGCTATGATTTGGCGACACCGTTCGGTCTAAACTAATGTCTCTGTAAGAGACATCGCTTTTCGTGGATTTATTATCTAATGTAGCACAACGGACAACATTTGAGAGTGGGACACTGGGACACGCCACCCAGTACATGACATCCAGAGGACCCAACCAATATTTTGCTTCGATCGACTGGCGTTCCGAATGCGCGTGCCATTAGCAGAGCTCATTTTTCCTTTACACCAACAGCCAACAATATGATGATCAAGATCTGTGTGCTTGCTATCACCGCGTCGGTGGCGACTGCTGCCATGTGCACTGGTAATGACTTTGGTTCAGCGTACACGAGTGCGATCAAGGAGGCAGTGCCGAGCTTTCTCCAGTGCGCCACGGACGTGGGTATTTCGATCGAAGACATTGCGGCCAACAAGGTGGACCAGGCGACGCCGGACCAAATCCAAAAGTTTGCCAAGAGCCCGAGCTGCGCGGCGGTGTTCAAGACGATTCAAAGTGCTTCCAGGACCATCTCGCCGCCGTGCACGATGGGCACCATGTGCGGCAAGGAGGTCACGACGACGCAGTTTGCCGACATGCCGTACGAAGACTACTTGAAAGCGGCCGCGCAAGGCGACAAGTGCACACTGCCGAGCGCGTCAAGCGCCGCTCCAGCCACCAAACTTGGTCTCGTCGCCTCGAGCGCCCTTGTGCTCTACGCGATGCTTTAAATAATGTATAATCGAATTTACATGTTCATAAACTATTACTAACTAATTTTATTGTGGGAGTCGATCAGGACTGCTGCTATCAACGATAAACCATTGGCCGCAGCTCGCGCGACGTTGGAGGACCATTTGCTCCTTCCTATGAGATGCAAAGCGGTGTCACTGGGTGGGTGCCATCACGATAGGGACGAGGATGGGTGCCCCCAGAGCGATTGGTAGGAGGAGCTCGACGTCCGGGCACCACTGAATATCGCACGTCACTTCGACGCAGTAGCGAGCCGAGACGATTTGTCCGCGAGTGCTCGGGTACATGCCGTTGCCGATCAGTTGGAACGACTGCGGCTGCGAGAGCGACTGGCCCGCGGGGACGCCGGGAAACGTTGCGCAGCAAATGGTTTTGCGCAGGACGCGGTTCCGGCCGTCCGCGTGGACCTCAACGACGCGGACGAGCTCGGATCGCATTGCTACAATGTCGCGCGACGACTGATTTCGGATCTCGCAGTGGATCTATCGCAATTCGTCTCAAAGGAGAGAATTGGCGTCAGTCGATGTGTACCTGGGGCACTTCGCCGGGGCCGTACATGTTTTTGTCCATCGAGACGCGTAGATCGCATTGGCCCTTGTTGAAGCAGCAGAGGAAGCGAATGATTTGCGTCTTCTCGGCCAGGACGGGGACAACAACGCCCGCGAGCTGCGCGTACACGACGAGTCGCTGCCGGTGCTTGAGGTCGCGCGTGAAGACACCGTTGATGCACAGCGTGCCTTTGATTGCGTACTCGATCTTGCCCTTGACGTTCGAGTGGTTTTCATTGTCAAACGACCCGGGAAGCCCCGTTGGCAGCTGATACTGGAACGGGTATATGTATTTTCCAGGGGACAAGTGTTGCTGGACGTTGAAGAGCACGAGCTAGTACAAACGATTAAATCTGAAAACATAAAAAATGACAATCGAACCTTGGACTTGAAAAATTCGCGGCCTTCGGAGAACGTCCTTGTCTCTGTATGGGATTTCCCGTCCCGCGTCACGGTGTGCTGCTCTGTCCAGCGCACGCGCTCTTTTCCGTTGACGAGCACGACGACCTCTACACCCTCTTAGAATGTTGTCCTGAACGTCATGACTGATACCATTGCACTCAATGGGCTCGAGGATGTCGACGTGGAGCGACCCGGTGATGAGCTCGCCGGAAATGTAGTACGGCTTGTCGACGGTGACGAGCACGGTGCCCTTGCCGCCAAGACCAAAGAGCTGCCCGAGAAATCCCATTTCTAAATATGCTGTTGATTGACTAGCGACGCTATAAATAAGACGCACACCAACGGCACCAAACGGCATGCAACGTTGGATGCATCAACGCGATATCAACTTGATGGTCTCTACAGATGCAAGTAGACGGAGCGCTTGGACACTGCAGAGACAAACACAATGCTAGCACGCTGGTCGAGCATACTACATGAACCATGTATGTACTACGTGTACTGGGTGGCAGCTCGAGAAGCGTCACTACAGTACTAACGTTATGATGCATTAGTACACATTTTGGCATGTACGCACGAGATGCGCGAACATATGACAGGTGCACTAACGTTAGAACAAGAGTGCAAGGACAAGCGTGCCGGCGGCAACGGTGCCGAGCCCGAGTGTCGTGGCACTGGACAGAACGCTGGCACTCGGCGGAAGAGTGGGGATCTTGGCCACAGCACTCGAAGGCTCGTCGGGAATTTTGCACTTGGGCGTGGACAGCAACGCTTGCACAAACTGGTCGTAGGTGAGTGCGCCGAGTTGGCCCGACGTGACGTAGTCGCCGCACATGGTACCAACAATGCACGACGGAAGCACGGCGATGGACGCGGCACGGACGGTGGTGAAGACGGCAACGCAGTTGGGGCTCTTGGTGAACTTGTCGACCATCAGTTGCGTCGCGTTCTGCACGCTGTTGCCAGAGAGGGACGACACGGACACATTCGTGTCCTTGGCACACGCACGAAAACTGGAATCGACCGCTTGGAACCCATTGGCTTGCCACACAGCAAGGGTCTCGGACGAACACGTGGGCGCCGCCGTCGCGACGGCAATGTAGGCGGCCGTAGCAAGAAGGGATGTCTTCATCTTGTGGTTTGAAAGGGGAATGAAGGAATGAAAAGACTTGCTGGCATTATCTTGACCCTATGCTCGAAGCAACGTGGTACTCGAGGCGAATCCAGGCTGCCATCGTTATGGACGTTTTGCTACACGCAATTTGAATTCACTCGTTTTTCCGGATGTCACTCGGAATTACAAACCAGTGTTGGTATTCTACTATCGCATGGGTCGACAAGCTCAGGTTGTTCAACGGCAAATTTTGCAAAGCGTCACCGCATTGGTGTATATAAAAGACGCGTATGGGCGCGAGGAGACGTTTCTATTGATCACATGTTTCAGCTCCGAGTCTCTGGCGCTTGCTGAGGACGACTTTTGTTGAGGGCGAAACGACACCTGATATCCGGATATCTATCGAAACACATGAAAACGCTCACCCGATATCCGGAAAGACGCGGGCTTGATTTGGTTTGTCTTGGTGGTGAGGACAGGAAAGGCAGGACCTTTTCACTCTCTTACGATGCGTACACGACGAACATGCAGAATCACAAAGCTGTTCGTTGTACCCGAATGAGCATGACGGTTGTGTCTACCCCAACATAGGGTCGGCACCTCTGCTCATTCGCGAGTAGCAGGACGACAGCATTTGCACGGCCGTCCTTTTCACTACCATTTGGTTCGCAGTCGCAGCTTGCTGTCGACTAAGAAGGCCGCAATGAGCGAAGACGGTCAAGATGGATAAAAGCATGATATATGCAAAGTACTACATTTAGAGGTAGACGAGTGCGAGGGTGCCGGTGGCCAACGCGCCCATCCCGAGCGTCGCGGCCGAGGCACTCGACGGCACGTCAGGAATCGTGCACTTGGACGTCTTCAACGAGGACTGCGCGTACTGGTCCAAGCTCATGGCGGCGAATTGGGCCGTCGTGACGGGCTGGCCGCACATGTTGCCAATGATGCACGGCGGGTTCACGGCCTTGGACGCAGCTTGGAGGGTGGTGAAGACTGCGACGCAGTTGGGGCTTTTAATGAACTTGTTGACCATGTCTTCCGTCGCGCCGGTCACGGTGCCTCCGGTGAGGGCGCCCGCCGAGAGACCAATGTCCTTGGTGCACGCAAGGAACTTAGGCGCGATCGTTTCGTACGCGCTGGCGTACGCCGTGCCAAGGGTCTCGGGTGTGCACGTGGACGCCGCCGCGTTCGCAACGGCAACGTAGGCGGCAATAGCAAGAAGGCAGGTCTTCATCGTGTGGTGTTGAGGGGAAATGAATTAATGACTGGGCGTACGATCGGTCTCCAGCACACTTAGAATCGCCAAGGAACCGTGGTACTCGACTTGAATCTAGGCGGCAATGTTGGTGGACGTTTTGTTACAAACATTGAATTCACTCACATTTCTTGGAGATATAAAGACGCTGCAAACCAAGGGAATAACTAGTTATTCTCTTACTGCAAACCAGCGATGGTATCCTCCTATCGCACGCATCGACTACTTCAGGTAGGATTCCACTTACTGTGCAAGTACTAGTACCATACTAGCAATTGCGCAGGGTGCAATCACATTGAAGCCCTCGCTGCGACTGCTCTTTGCAACCAACGGCATGAACTTTATGCCTTGGTGCAACTATGTACAGTACCATGTCATTGCAGCGTTTACTGTGGACGTATTTTGTTGAGGATACCGTTTGCGAAGCTCGTCGCATCCGGATGGAAGTGTGAATTCAGACTTGATATATGAAGTTGAAAGGGCTCGTCTTTGAAAAAGCAACTGACTGTATCGACGACATTAGGTGTACGCAACATGTGAAATGGCGCCGCACAAATATGGACATGCTATGTAATAGTTTACTCCGGCGAAACAAAACTACTGTACCGCGAGCATGCGACATTTCAATATGCGTCGTCTTGTCGTTCAGAGCGTTGAAGTATTGACACAGGTTTCGCGACAATCTGTATACATCCAGCAGTGTCTCAGATGTATCCTCGGTAGTAGTGATCAGTAAACGCAAAAGATACCGCACATGCACCGCACGTCCAATAGCTCGTCCAATAGCTCGTCCAATAGCTCGTCCAATAGCTCGTCCAATGTAGCTGTATCCAGCAGATCGATCTTTCAACGGTTATCATTTTCGCTTAGCCGTTGAACACTCCACTTTCAAACCAAGAATGAAGCTCGTCATGATTGCTGCGATGATTCCACTTGCATCGGCGGCCGCTCCTGCATGCACGCAAGAGAGTCTCGGGTCCGCGTACCTCGGGGCGGTCCAGCAAGCGGCGCCATCGATGGTCAAGTGCACGATGGACATTGGTCTTTCGCTTTCGGAGCTCGCAACAGGCAACATGACGCGCGTGTCGTCCGAGACTGTCGACAAGTTCGCCAAGAGTCCCAACTGCGCCGCCGTCTTCACGGCGATGCAGTCGGCGTCCAAGGCCGTGAGCCCACCGTGCACCGTCGCTACCATGTGCGGCAAGTCGGTTACGACCGCCCAAGTCGCCGCCATGACGTACGACCAGTACGTGCACGCCAACCTCCAAACGGCCCAGTGCACGATTCCGGACCTGGTGACAAACAACGCGCCGACGGCGTTCTTGAGCCTCGTTGCGGTAGGTGTGGTCGGGCTGCTTGCGATGATATAAGCAAGGCTCGCAATGTAGTTTCTCCTTGACCTAAGGAATGATTTGGTAGCAAATAGAGAAATACATGTTTGTGTCTGCACAATTTCTTAACTTTCCTGGGGCTGGCACGCAATTCATTCAGCAACTCATTTTGATGTGTCGGGTTCAAAAACGAAATACCTTGTCACTATCTAACATTATCGGAACGGGTCCGATTTCACTCTCGTAACGCCCGACGCCGATGGAGCCGCCGTCGTACAAGCTCCTATCACTGGACTCGGCATCGCTCGAGCAGAGTCTCTCGCACCTCTCCACGCGCATTGCGCAGGTTGAAGACTCGATTCCGGCGCATCCCGCGTTTGCCAGTATTTCTACATATTCAACACGACACTCCTCCGTCTCATCCGGTTCTTGCGCTAGCGTTTGCCGAACGCATAGCCGAAGTAGAGACCAAGATCGCGTCGCTGCATTTGTCGCTTTCTTCAAACTCGGTATCTGCCTCCTCGCTGCCGTGTATTGCCAAAGAATTGCAAATCTCGGACGACGACGAGAGTCGATCCAGTGTCGGTATTTGTCTCGACGAGCTGCGCGCCTCTCAGATGAAGATCAAGCTCGAGCATGATCTTCGCTTCTCCACGTTCGCTCCATAAGCATCTAGACGATACCAAACGTAGAATGGCTAGGCTGCAGCTCGAGCTCGAAAAGGTCAAGCGCAGCCTGGGCGCAGTCCCGTCCGAAGCCGACCACGACGTCTGGAAGCAGAGTCTTGTCGCCGAGGCACTCTTGCCAATGTAGTACCAGTCAGTTCCTTTATCATCGCACTCGGTGGTAGATGGCCGATGCAATTTTGAAGGCCAAGGCGAGCGGCGCAGCTGCCGAGCAAATGACGAGCGAAAAGCTGGCCCTCCACGCGCTTGAAGCGGCCCACGTACGTGGCATTCTTGCAGCGACACGTGGCGCACACATATCTAGTGGAAAAGCGATTTTGAGGCCTCGTTGAGCAAGCGTCTCGATGGTGTCGTCGGCCTCATCCAGGCCAACGCCGCCGCGATCGACGACGTTACGACGGCGTGAGTCCTATGCAATTCGCACGTTGAAATCATGTGGTATCGGTAGCACCGAGAAACGACTGACGCAACAAGAAGAAGGCATTTCTGTCATGGAGCAAACAGCGCAGTACCTCCGCTCGACGACAAGCAGTATCGACGACGATCGCGCCGCCGTCCACAGTCGTCTCGAAGCCGTCGAAGCCAACGTGCATCAAGTTGGCAACTTGAAACATTGAAAGGTTTGTACTCTAAAACCTGACGAGTAGGCCGTGGCACAATGCGCCGATGTCATGGCGGCGGTGGACCGTCAAGTACGCGCCAACCAAGTCATTCTCGACACGGTCGACAGCGTCGAGAAGAAGTTGAATCAGCGCATTGCCGACGCGGATGCCAAGACCGCGGCCACAGAAGGCGTCCTCCGTGGCCAGCGTAGCGCGCCTTTCCTTGATGTGGAGTGGACGGGTGTATGCTGTAGGTCACCACACGGAGCTTTTGGTGCAGGACATGCGCAATCTCCTGGCAACGTCGATGGAGACGATGGACATTGAAGCGCGCAAGCTCAACTTTACGATCGAGACGCTGACCGCGCTCCAGACACATTTGAGCAAGACCGACGACACGGTCCGGTCCCACGCAGTTGCGCTCGATGTTTTGGTCAAGCACGACGGCATGCTCACGCAGCACACGCTGCGCTTTGCCGAGCTCGACCGCTCGATTGCCATGCAAGTCGAGAAGGACCGCGTTCGCCTTGAGCGACTCGAAAACGACTGTGCGTAGTTGATGGAGATATTGTCGTGAATCGTTGCGTAGACTCGTCGCTAAAACACCACGTTCACGAAACCGAGTGGGTCGCTAACGAAAACAACAAGATCTTTCACGAACAACTGCACCAGCTGCACCAACTGGCCAAGACGACCGAGAGTGCAGTCGCGACGCTGTCAGGGCAGATGCCCGGCCTTCAGGTACCATGCAATTTATATTTGAACGAAATGAATCAAGACTTGTTGCTAGTACGATGTTACGGAGCTTAGCAACGGCGTCGCCAACACCCGCGTCGAAATGAAGCGCGTTGTCGCCTCTAGCACCCTTGTCGAAGAGGTTGTCTCGTGTAAAATGTATTTGAAACATTAACTCTGTCTCTGTACTAGCAACTCAAGGACGTACAGCACCACATTCTCGATTGGCGTGGCACAATCAACGTCCGCTTCGACATGTAGGCGACCATGTTAAGTGCGCCAGATGACATTATGATGCGTAGGTGCGAGCAGGCGACGCGCGAAATCGATTCGCAAGCCAAAGACACGTCGGCACTGCTCGACCAATTGGCCTACCGACTCGACGACGAGCGCAAGTTTGTCGCTTAACGTGCTGGCGCCGGCGAAATGTTGCGTGAAAATAGACACACGCTCCACAACTTTCAAGCCATGCACCACCTCGTCGATGGTCTCATCCAGCGCGACGTCATCAACGACGAGATCCGTGACGAGCGTCTCGGCAAGTGGGCGCTCGAAATAGCGACCGCGGGTCTCCAGCAAGAGCACTTCTTGTACGTTGCGATCCCTTTTTCATTTCTGAATTTTCTACGCTTTTGCATTTTGGCTCTGTCGTTGACCCCCTCGTATGCAGGTCGCACTCGACCGTGCTGCCGGACGACCGGAAGCAAAAAGTTGCCGATTGCATATTCCAAGCCACGGGACTCCTGAGCAGCGACGTGCGTCACCACGTGAGCCGAGTCACGCTCACTGAACACCACGTGGACGACGCGACTGTCCAAGCACTTCGGAACGCCGCGGCCGTCGCCTTTGGCAACCGCGTACGAAAACACCGCATCGAGCTCTAGCGTCATCGGATAGGATGCGTGACGTAGGTGCGTCAGCATATGGAGACCATGGCGCCAACAACAAACCGATTCCTGATCGACGCGCGCGATACCTTTGTGCGCCGAGTGCAGAGTTGCGTGCATTTAACCCTCTCGTTTGGTACCACCATTAGTGTTCTTGGATTGATTCACTTGGAACAAACTAGTCGGTGGCCACCACGCGATCGCCAAGCAAAAGCGGCCGCCAACGACCGCGACGTGCATCTCGTGCGACCGCCCGATCTGCGACGCCAGGCATTAATATTAAACTGTCCAAAATGCAAACATCGATTAACTGAACCTGTAGTGACACGACCAGCAGCGCCAACCAAGACGAGCCCGACGCCGATGCAAGTGATGCGAAAAAGGTAGTCAATATTTCTTAAAACATCGTTTCGATGCAGCATGCGTAGGCGACGGGAAAGCTGCGGCCCATGACGGCTGGAAGCGGCCGCGTGGATGTCAAGTCGGTTATCCCACGTCGGTCGGGCACGTCGACGATGAAGCCCAAGGCGTCCGGGGAGATCATGCACATTCCGCCGAGTGCGACCGGCGAGCAATTTGTGTACCGTGGCGGCTTTCGCATTCCGAAGCAAGCCAAAGCGACCACGGACGTCGAAGTCAACACGTCGATCCGGCACATTGACGTCAACCTGCAAGACAAGCTTCGGGAAGAGCCTTGTCTCGAGAAGGTCGGTCTTCGCGGTCGGTGTCAGGTATACTCGCTCCTCTCAGGTATAATGTCATAAAGAGACTGTGCTAGTCGTCAACGCCGTTGAAGTCTCGACCGCAGACGGCACCCCATGCAAAATCGTTGCCAAAGTTGCCGCTACCCGTCTCACCGCGTGGGCTCGACGGCGTTGCGACATCACCAATGGCCGACGACAGTGCACCGCTAGCGACTAGCACCAGTGTTGTAGAACAAAGTTGATGAACGCATGGCCATTTTCTACAATAAAGAGCAGGAGGATACTACGCGGATAGGGCTATAGTGGTTGATGTTGTTGGCCATTGATAAACTATTACATTGAGGAGATTTATGATTCGATATGAGACGTCATCCTAGAAGGTTGCCTCGGTGAGCTCTGCATACGGCGTTTCCGACTTCATATTGGGATGGGCCAGTGCGAGCTCGGCGAGCTCTCGCTTGATTTTATAGCGGCGCCAAAGCCAAAAACTGGCCACAGCACAAATGATGACCGTGCTCCCGAGCGCCGCACCGAGAATGGCACCCGTTGACGACGACGATTCGGACGCGGACGACGTCGACGTCCCGACCGACGTGGCGGTACTCGTTGCCGTTGGCGCTGGCGTCCATGCTACGAGTGGAGCCTCGGTCTTCGGCGTCCACCCCGAAGGACTTGTTGACGTTCGCGTGGGACTAATCGTCGGTTGCGGTGACACAGACGGCGCAACTGTGGTCGCCGCAATGGACGGAGTGCTCGAAGAGACCACTGGGACAGGCGCCGTCGTGGATTGTGACGGCGGCAACGTCGACGGCACCACCGCCGTTGTTGAAGACGGAGTCTTCGTCGTTGGGGCAACCGTCGTCGTTTCTGGTGCCACCGTCTTTGGTGGCGCAGTCTTTGGTGGCGGCGTCGGAGCTGGTGCCTCTGGGGCGAGTGTTGTTGGGATTGGCGTTGCAGGAGCCTCCGTCATAGGCGCGAGGGTCACTGGCGGTGTCGTCAGCATGGCCGCAGACCCACTGCTCGACCCCCCTGCGGCGCTGGTGCGCGCGAGCAGACTCATCACGAGCAGCCACACAAGCCAAGCACGTTGCATCGCTTTGGAGCAACAACAAACTGGGCCGCCCGTTACAGGCGCCTCGTCGGACGTGGCTGCTAGCCTGAAACCGTTGCTAAAAAGACGGAGCTTGCGTGTTTATAGAGGCCGCCCGCCTCCAGGGCCACTTGACCCAACAAACGCAGCGAACAGTGGGATCATGGACACGCTAAAACTCCATTTCAGTCACTTGCGTATACGTCGTAGCCTTGACGTCCTCGTCGTCCCCATCTTCTTGGCACCGAGCGATTTCCGCCTCACGCAAGCGATACCGACGCCACAGCCAGAACGTTGCGACAGCACAAATCATGCACGTGCAGCCAAGCGCCGCGCCCAGAATCACGGCCGTATCCGACGGCGGCCTCGACGTGTCTGGGTGCACGTGGCTATGGGTGGTGCCGATGCCAGATACATAGCCTGCCGACCCGCCGTCGTCCGTTGGGGATGTCGAAGAAGGACTCGGACTGCTTGTTGTCGTGGTGGCGACAGGCGGCGGGGATGTGCTTACGGAATCTCTAGTCGGTGGTACGCTTGGCGTTGTTGCCGCGGTTGCGCGTTGACTCGTTGGTGTCGGACTCATGGCCCCTGTCGGGTTCATAGCGGCGGCGGTAGGTGCATTGGTGGCTACGCCGGCGCTCGTCGGTACCCAAGCTGCAGTTGTCGCTAATGGCACGGCCGTCGTCGGAGCAAGCGTCGTTGGAAGGGTCGTTCTCGGCGCCCCAGTGGCCGCGACGGCCGTCGTCGGAGTCGGCGTAGTTCTGGGTACCACATCTGACGTCGTCGGCCAAGGCGCCGTCACATTGTCGCCTTGTCCCGCCACGGCGACGATAAGAAACATAAGAAGCCAAAGGACGTGCCGATACGAGCCATGGTACATCGAACGCATCGCGATCTCCAAATCCAACGCGTTTCCAAGATCGCGGGTATCCGGATGCGCGTCAGGTTCGAGCGTCGGGATCTTCCGAGAGAAGCTTCTGATTCGGGTTCCATTCCCAGCTTCGGCGCAGTGTGTATTTCATAGCACGTGCAAACGCAAGTGCAAACTGGGCGCGCTAGAAAGAGCTCTTCTCTACGCGGATGGTGTTGGCCACGATGATGTGGGCCTGTCTGGCTGTGTCTGAGCACTGCGGTTCGAAACCAGACGTGGTCCCTTGTTGATACAAAGGCTGCAAGACTCAGATTAGTGCAGAAACTACATCTCGTCTTGGCCGAATGCGTTAGCGCAACAGCGAACGTCACTTTAAACGGGAGTACACCGTGCATGATCTAGACACGATCGACGCGACGACACGAGCCGCGCTCGCCTGTCTACTGTCATTTTTTGTAACGACACCAGTGTCAAGATCCAGTTGGCGCCGTCTGTGACAGGGTGGGACCGAGCCAACCATGTTCGATCAATGCTGCTCCGACGGCGGTGGCGTCGCAGATAAGTGCCCCGTCGGAGAAGACAGGACTTGAAGACAGGCGTCCAACAATGCTGCGAAGGCGATCACTCTTGCATTTTCCGGCCAGTCCACAGCATCCTTGCATCAATGGGCCTCCGTGACCAGCTCTACATTCTCGTTCTAGCGCTTCTCCTCTGGAGTGGGCCCGCGCACGGCCACAGTCACGGCGGTGGTGGCGACGAGCACGGTGTGTGCGGCGAAGTCGAAGGCGACCCGGACACGTACGACACCAACTTGCACATCGCGGCGGCGTTCATCGTCTTTGCCGCGTCCATCATGGGCAGTATGCTCCCGGTCATGAGCGCGTACGTCCCGTGGCTGCACAGCAGCACCACAGGCATGGAGATGCTGAGCTCGTTTGGCTTTGGTGTCGTCATCTCGACAGCTTTTGTGCACATGATTCCACCCGCCATTGCCACGCTCAACAACCATTGTCTCGGTCTCGACTACTCGGGCATTGCCATGGTCATCGTGCTGGCGACCATCTACCTCATGCAGCTGCTTGAAACGGAGCTCGTCATCGCCCTCACCAAGTACACGTCTGGCAAGTCCAACGATACCAACCAGCGCGTGCTCGAGTCTGGAATCCTCTCGACGCCGCCGCGGTCCCCCCACGTCGGCCATTCCCACGGCGTCATCGCGTCGGGGCCGAGTGACGAAGAGACGGCGATGCGCCAGAAAATCTCAGTGCTTATTTTCGAGGCCGGCGTCGCTGTCCACTCGATCATCATTGGCGTCGAGCTGGGCGTGAGTTCGGGCGACGAGTTTACGACGATTTTGATTGCGATTTGCTTTCACCAGTTTTTCGAAGGCGTCGCCGTCGGTAGCTCGGCCGTCTCGGCCTTCTCGGAGATGAAGACGCTCGTCCTCTCTGCGTTTGGGTACTCGCTCACGACGCCCGTCGGTGTCGTCATTGGCATCCTCATCTCGAGCACGTACAGCGATACGTCGACGACCGCGCTCTGGGTCAAGGGCACGTTTGATGCGATCGCCGGTGGTATCCTTGTCTACACGGGCATCGTCGAGCTCGTGACGTACCACTACACGACCAACCCCGAGTTCCACAAGAAGAACTTCACGGGCCGCGGCCTCAACTACATGTGTCTCTACCTCGGGTCGGCCGCCATGGCCATTGTCGGCAAGTGGGCATAAAATCTGCGGCTATCTAACTCCATTAAATGTTCAAAATGTCTGATTTCCAACGGAGTCCTCGGATACCGCTCTCCGATAGTATACGATCCATGCACTCGTGGAATCGCGATGCCATTGCTGGTCTCCACCCAAGAGACTTGATATCTCCACCCAGATCTCCAGCAGCTCAAGTCATTCGTCAAGCACCAGTGATCGAGAGACTCAAATGGAGCGAAATGTATTGCCAGGCCCGACCTTCCACACCAGACCGCGAGTTAGTTGCTCATCTGAAATTGTGGGCGCGAATTAGCCAGTTCGAATCCGAACGCTGCTGCCGACGACGGTTGTAGCGTACGACCCAAACGAAGACATGGACTCGAGCGCGGTTCGCGCCGTGTCGAGGCCAAAGATACCCACAGACTGTCGGTCGAATGCATCGCTGCCCGACGCAGTCGAGTCGGTGGACCCAGATCGCACGCGGCGTGGTTCTTGTGCGAGTTTGGGCAGTGCCCGACTGGAGAGAAGAACGATCTTGTCTTCGTTGTCGTTGACAGTGTCGTGGGGCGGGCTGGGTACGACACACCCGCCGCGGACCGTGTAGATGGCGGACCGCGCCATGTCTACAGTTTGCTTGACGATATCCGGTCGTAATTCTACGCCACAGTACCGTCGCTGAGAGACGTTCGACGGGCGACCGCGTCCGTCGGTGGACAGTAGCAGTTGGTGCAGACGCGGACCTTCTTGGTGACGAGCGTCGACGTCGCGACATGGACGTGGGCACACTTTGTGCAGGCAATCTATTGGAGTGGTTTGGGAGTAGTTCGGGTCATGTTCCTACTTGGTGGCAAAAGTAGCACTGGAGCTTTTGCGAGAGGAGTTTAAACGCGCCAAAGCACACGTCGCAGTACGACGCATTGGCTCGATACGGCGCGGGCGACGACAACCGGCGCTGCCGGACGAGGCGCGACTGCACGTCATCGGCACAAAAGTAATCTTCGAGGTTGAGCATCTGGGCAAGTATGGATTAACGCATTGCGTAAAACGCCAGTCAAGGTCGAATACCCAGTACCTCGCCCACGATCCGCTCCATGACCTTACGCCCAAG